ACTACTAGGCGTACACTTTCGAGCGTACCAACGACAACAACAACAGTTTTCTAATCTGTACACACGAGCCCAAAGTGAATCTGCATTTTCAAGACCGGCTGCGGTTCAATCGTATGAGCAAAATCGAAACTCATACATTCGAGAGGATGCAGAGTGGAGGACAAAGGCGATTTTTTATTTTGGTATTGTTATTATTGCCATTTACTTTTTGATTGAGTTGTGGGGAGCAATTACTGCAATTCTGAGTATTTTGGTGAGAGCGATTATTGTCATTGTCGTTATTTGGTTTTGCATGAAAGGAGGGCGAGCAAATTAATTTAAATTTTACTCATCGTTCTGATTGTAGTACTCTCCCTGATTTCGTCTTCTTTTTTATTTTAATGCCGACGTTTCGACAACGACGTGCTTTCAATTAGACAGTGAACAACGAGAAACTGTAAGGCTTATTACATACAACTGTTTTCTTTCTTTTTCTGTTTCTCTTCTTGTTGTTGTTGTCTTTCACGTAAAGATGGCGATACTGATAGGAGCAACCATTTGTCTCGTTGCTCTCACTTTCATATGGCGAAAGACAACATAAAGACAACATTTTCGATTTCAACTTTCGGTGTGAGGTTTTTTAAAATCAAAAACCGTTTTTTGATACAGGACTTTTAGTATTTCTCGAATATCTCGAGAAGGTGAGCATATTTTTCGAAAAGAGAAACTTTCATCTTGACATAACGTCTAAAGTACCTGTGATAAAAATTTGAGCTCTATCAGACCGGACCATTTTGTCGAGGGTCGTAATGTGATCTAACGAAAACCAGAGTTTTCAAGAAAACACGTAGAAGAACATGTCAGCAAACTCTGGACAAAAATACACCGATTTTCTTCTCCGATGTTCTATCTCTGCTATAAATTTGAGCTCGATCGAACGTGTACTCCCCATTTTGCAACAAGGTGAGAAAAGAGGGGAAGGATACCCTTAACAAAAAAATAATAGATTTGTTCGAGGTTGGACATGGTTAACGTTTGAAGTTGCGACGGGAGATGAAAAAATCGTCAAATTTCTCGGATGTTTTTGCATGGCATACATTTATATAACTATGGACTAGTGAAGTATATTTTGAAACATGTCAAAAAAAGGTTTTCTGCTCGAAACTTCTCTCATTCGATTTTCCATTCAAAGATCGGGCAACGAAAACTTTCAGTCATATGTTTACAGAGAAAATAATTTTGTCTACGAGTACCATCCATGATGTCAACACAGAAGTGTTTTTTTATTACTCTACTTTCACTTCATCTTCATGTTCCTTAGGTTCGTTAGCTTGTTACTTTTTAAATGCTAGGATTCTTAGTTACGACATTTGATTTGAATAAATTGGTTAAACGCGGGACCTACGATAAAACTGTTGGCATTACAAATAGTTTCTATGAATGACACATCACTCAATTTTGTATATTGTACTTTTAATCATCTCTTCAAATTAAAATTCAGAAATCTGTTTACGATGTTCACTATTAAAGGATCTCCATTCTCCATTTGTTTTCATTTGATTCGCGACTAACACTTCCTTAAAATTTTCAACGAATAAAAACGATGATTGAGCAAAGATTCGAAAGTCTTGATAAGTCAGGGTCTGATACTGTGGTTGAGGCTGTTTCGGAGGCTTCTAAAGAGATAATGTATTACAGGTCAAGTTCGACACTGTTTGTGATGGTTATCTCTAAATGATATTTTTTGTCGGTGTTTTACTGTTAGATTTTTTGGGCGCCACATGGCAATGCTTATTTATCATAAGATACAGATTAAATTTCACTTTCTATGGTTTTATTACATCTTCCTGTTTCATCTGGACCCAAATCCGAGATGTCAAGTAATTGTAGACATGTCAACCGCAGCTCAATTCCAAAATACATTTGATGGTCTAGATGATATAATTTTAAGTTTTGAATATGAATCTCCTTCATCTGAATTTACTAGATTCATTGCTTTTAGGTGATTCCATTAATGTGGTTTAAGAAATTAAGAATAAGAGAAATTGAATAGTTATTCTGTCTGAATGAAAATTCCCTGGTACAAACGTGCACGACTGGCTAGCTTTGACAAAGAAGTCGATTGATAAACAAGTGACTACCAAGACGCAGATGGATGAATCAGAGCCGACGCAGAATGAATCAAAAGCTGTGTTCAACAATCAAACAGCTCAAGGTTCTGAAGAAAGCCACACAGATAAGAGCAAGCCTCATGACATTCAGAATCCAGACGGTGTCACTACGTCAGACGACTACAATAATTGTGAGACAGACAAAGAATGTCAATGGTAACTTCTCATTGAACTATTCAAGCACGGTAACCAAACTGTAATTGCAGCACCAAAAGAAGACGAAGAAGGTCTAGATGAACAGATTTATTCAGAAATTACTGAGAAACAGGACAACACTCCCAAAGAGAACGTGGTTCCTCTTGTCAATCAGAAATCGAAGTGCTGTGTTTTAATGTACTTGGTGTTATTTAAAATCCGTTTATCTTTCTCAATAAATATATGTTCCAAAGCCTGGAATTGCTGTGTTCGCTAATGAGTTCAAAAGAAGATCGCCGTTACTAAAGGCCGACGTAAAAGGTGCTTTTTCTCACGTGATTTTTTAAAAATAAGTTTTGCTTCTGCAAACTTTTTTGTCATCTCTTGACTGATTTGAATAAATACGAAACTAGTCTCAAGTGAAACAGTAAGTTCACTATGTAGAAGGTGGTGTTAATCTTATTAATCATAGAGTTACAGAACAGTCATCATCTCTTTTTTCTAGAACCGCTAAGTTATACGTCAAGCAAATTTTATCTTTTTTTTTATTTATACTAAGTAGCATTTTCCAAGTTGACCGAATTGACTGATGATGATGGAAAATGGTACAATAATTTTTCTTTTATTGTGTGCTACTTTTTTTAATAAATAAGCAAATAGATAAGCAAAGCATCTTTTGAAAGATAAATAATAAACGTCAGCATTCTTAACCTAGAAGTCCTTCAGGTTTACCCAGTATCAGAGACGCGTTTTCTTTTGCCATTTAATGTTTCAAGTCCGTGTTTCCTGAAGTACTGAAACATCTAAACACGACATCAATATAATTACATGAACGTCTAAAAAATCCTCAGCGATTTTCCAAAAAACTAGAAATTCCTGACGGATTTTACAGATAACTGGAAATTAATTCCATATTTCGAATTTCCAAAGTCCATATATAAAATCGCCGATGAATTTCTAAATTGAAAATCGCTGAGCATTTTCTGTAATTCTAGAAAATCGAATGAAAATTTGGCTTCGAATTTCAAAAATCTTGAGAATTATTTATAGAAATTCGACCTTGAAGTTCTAGAATTCTGGAAAATCGAGGTGAAATTTCCAACGTTCTTGAACATTCGATTTTCTAGAATCTAGAAGATCCCTGGGGAATTTATATTTGGTGTTTTTGAAAATCGCCGAGCATTTTCTATAAATAATTCCCGACATTACAGTGTATCGACGAAAGGATACTGTTCTTTTTCATGAAGACGGAGACAACAGCCGAAAAAAGCATTCAAAAAAGAATTAAAATGTACAACAGGAAGCTTGAGAAATGAAAAAGACGGCCAAATTCATCCTCGATTTACTAGACTTACAAATTAGAATAAAGTATTTGCAAAGAGACGGTTTACATTTGAATCGTGCAAGTGTAAAACACGTAGTTGAATTTTTGTGTGGCCATTTTCGTGAAAAAAACAAATAAATCGAAATGATTTCTAAATCTTGTAGAAGATATGCTTCTTTTACACTTAACAGTCAGAAGCTTGTCCGAATGTTAATATTTAAAGGGCAAATGTATATTTCTGCATGTTAGATCTGCTGCTGGCGAAGTTTGTCACGTCATTTTGCCCAAAATCAAAAAACCTCCACTTTAAAAAACGTAAAGTATAAGTTCAGCGGTTTTAATTTTGACACCACGAGAATTACAAAGATTCCTGGAAATCATTTAACCAACAAGTAAATGAATATTTTGATGATGATGTTCTAATTGACACGATGTCAAAAGGATTGTGTCTGTTGCGTAATGAGTACGTTGAACCGACAACTTTTACATTCAATCTGTGCCATTGGCGATGGAAAGACATTAACCCGTGTACTCCCAAGCCTATTTTACACACAACAATGGAACAATGGAAAATAACAGAAAAGAGTATCATTCTACGGCTACTTTTCTACTTAAGCTAGAATTAAGTGGTGACATGCTAGCTAACAAAGATTCATCACGTGCGAAACTGCGATCACTTTTAGTATGTACATCTATAACAGACAGCTAAATGTACCTCACAAATCACGTCCCATAAATGCAAATGTAAATAATAGTTTCTGAACTTCTGAACTTGTTCTGATATTTTTTGATTGAATATTGAATTTTTTAATATTAGGTGAAAACAACCTGAAACCCTAATTCTCGTAAAACTGACGTTTTGGTAGATTTTTAAAACTTTTTCTAAAAATAAATATTGCCACAAGAGTCAACATGGTCGATTATCCATAGCCCAATCGTATTTAAGGCTACCAAGAGTCACCAGATGCCAGTCCTGGGACTCGTCGGAAATCAGATACAACTTCCGAATCGCAGAAAATTAAGGTCTCACTTTACTCCCATTTTGAAGAGAACACCCCCGGCCTATCAACCCATGAGGAAAAATCAATACATTCCTATGTGAAGTTCGGAAAACCTAAGCCAGTTCTCCAAAGATCTTCTATAAAATCTGCTTCAGAAGTGTTTCCAAAATTCTTTTTGCTTTTGTGTAGAAATGAAAATAACTTCGCCAGAGGCATTTCTGACATTGTATTGACTAACAGTATGTGTTAGTTTTCTGAGAACGGAGATGGTTTTCCATAGATTCTCTGGAAAACGGAGCTTCCACAAAATTTTGAAACATGTTTCTGCTTACAAAAACATGTCTTAGAAGTGGTTTTTATTACTGAATAAAGTCTTTAAAAATAGTATTTTCAAGACAACATTTCTTTTTCATGCTTTAAAAAGTCTTTAACAAACTCAATTAAACTTCTGTATCTATAATGATAAGGTGTATCATCATTAAGATTTGGATGATCGTCCGTATGTTCACCATCAATATACACAAATTTGGTATAATCACATTGAATATCTTTAAAATTTCTCTTCAAATCATCCACAAATACTACCGGTTTTAATTTTTCGATGGCTTCTTTTTTCGGATTTGGATGCTCATCTTGTTTTAAGAAATCATTTGGCAATTTATGATGTATTTGTCGACCAATCACACGATCAATTTTAAAACCATGTTGTTTTAAGTTTCGTAAACGTTGTTCAACAAATTTTTCTGACATGGTTGTAACACAGACGAGTTCATAGCCAGCTTCATGCAATAAATCACAAGCTTCCAAAGCACCATCAAGCATAGGCATAGAGTGCCAACCATGTTCATCAAACTTGGTATAAAAATCAATTTCTTCTTCAGGTGTGAATTCAATACCATACATATTTTTTGCATCAAACGAACGTGGATTTACTACAACCACATCTTTACCAAATGTTTGTTGATAGATTTGTCCAAATGTTTTACAATAATCGAGTAATACACCATCACAATCCAAGGCAATCACTGGTTTTGTCATTACTTCCAAAACTTTTGCTGTCAATAAATTATTGTGGTGATTATGGTGAACATTATTCTTGAATACTAAAACTCATTTTTTTGTCTTACCCATTCGTTGAAAGCAGTTATGCGTAAAATTTTTTCAATATACCATGAGGACGTATTTATGTGCTCTGTCAAGTAGTCAGTCAATATTTCGTTTTCTGTTTCTTTTAAATATATACACTTTTGTGATTATTATTCACGAGGTATCTCGTTATACTGATGCGTGATAGAAGAAAAAGAGATTTTGTCATCTCGTTCTTTCTCTACATGATTTGTGTCAATATTGTCAGACATTTTTATTGTTATAAAAATCTAGCGTGACTGCAAACGGATATATACTACTGTTTGTCAAAGTTCAACAGCTACTATCGAAAACATAAGACGTGAGAATGAGCCATCAGATAATATTTGTTTAGAGAGATGACATTTCTTTATGGTAAGAAGTTGATATCGGTGATAGTATTTTGTTTGTGGAACGTTGTTAAATCTTTTCTCTCATTTAATTCGTATGTCAATATTTGTATGATATTTCCTGGTTACTTGAAGTAGAAATTAAATTCAATACCAAATTTGGTGACAGTTTCCCATCTATGACGCCATCAAACGCCTAATATAAAATACAAAAAATTAAGAAAACTGAAAATTCTTCAATGCATTTGCTGACAAATAACAAATGACCGCAGGTATTTAATATCGTAAGAAACTGTATAGGCACTATCTCACTCTTTGAGACTGATGGCGCTGTATGATTCTGATGTAACAAATACTGTAGTCTTAGTTAGATAGCATCCTATTTTTTAGTAGGTACTCCGAAGCCTGTTTAAAACTTTCTAAAAAGAATTCTATGGAGCGTTTTTTAGAAACTCACCAGGAGATCAACCTTGCGTTAATAAACCGTAAGGGTATTGGACTCTGATTGAAAGCTACCCATAAGTTATCTCGTAAATTCCTTTAGCTTTTTAATTAACTGAAAAGGGTTTTTCTGACTCAAAAAGTCTTATGGTATTTATTTTAAGGAAGGAATCTAGTAAAGTGCGAAAAACGTATTTCAAATAACGGTGAAGGGTTTGTTTTTTCAGTTGATTGCAATAGAACCAAAGCTTTTTCGAGTACCTGATGTGGCCTCGTAATCGGAAATAAACTCAAGTTACGAAACAAATTTGTATTTCGTATACATCACAATATAGCAAAAATTGAATAGGGTTATGTTTTAACTCTATAGAAATTTGATCATTTCTTCTAAAAACTTCAGAAGGTCGTACTTGTGAGTGGTAGTGAGCTGAGCTTACAATCGAAGAAAGTATATCAAGTGAACAAAAATTGCTGTGTATTTACTTATTTTGAGCTTAATCAGTTGAACCTGAAATGAACTGAATCAGGTTTCTGACGAGAAAGCCGAGCAAAACATGGGTATATCTAATTAGTTTATATCGCACTCTATAAAAACCTATATATAGGTTTCTATAGAGTATGATGGCTAAATAATATTCGGAAACGAACTCATTCTGCGATGTAAACTAATTAGATATACCCATGTTTTGCTCAGCTTTCTCTTCAGAAACCTGATTCAATTCATTTCAGGTTCAACTGATTAAGCTCAAAATAAGTAAATACACAGCAATTTTGTCGACTTGATATACTTTCTTCGATATAGTGTAGGTTGATGTACTTCCTTATAGGCATGCACCGGTTACGGTTAACCGTAACCGTGAATAACCGGTCGAACGGTTAACCGTAACCGTAACCCAGGCCGTGAAAAATGAGCTATAAATGACTCATTTATGGACCATATATGGCTCATTTTTAGATCATATCTCTCCCACATTTATCTCATTTATTATATTATAATATAGTGATAATTTTGTCATTTTTCTATATGGACTATAAACGATGAATGCCGTTTGTTTGTACGAACGATACACTAATGCACTTAAAATGCAGAAAAATGGTCGGTCACTAACGTACACGCGGAAATCAGTGTCATTAGCAGCAGGATACAAAATAATCTTAATCAACTTTCGCTCAAAGAATCCAAACAAGATTGTATATACTATTCTTTCTTTCCAAATAAATTATTCTTTATTTTTCTACAATCAGTACACGAAGCTGTTATGA